AACTTTACACATTATATATGCTACTCTAATGTGACGTTTAGGCAGTTCGTTTAACTATTATACATGATGTACGTTTTTTGGGGGTTGGTTAATGAAAGTGTTCCAAAACGCGACATTAATTTCTTGACGACTTAATACTACAAGGTGCTTACAGTATCTCATTCCATAAACAAAGTTAGAAAATTAAAATGGTCTTAACTGGAATCTAGCCTGTCTTTTTCAAATCTTAAGGTATGTCCTCTCATCTTATTGTTCTTCAGAGTACAACACAAAGATATTTCAGGCCTTTACACTGTTTCCCTGGATAATTCTGTAAACTTTTAATAACATTACCTCTTACTCTTCTTTTCTCACAAGAAATGCTTATAGTGCTAATAACATTAATATATTTAATTAGCAGTTTCTTACTCTCATGTCACCGACTTTTTACTAAAGACTTAGTGTCTTGATGCAGAATGTTGCTAATTGATGAGACCTGGATAAAGGCCTCCAATTTCTTTGTGTTGTAATGTATTTTTAACACAGTAGCATAAGAGGGCACAAATATTAAAATTCATGAAAAACACAGGTTAGGCTCCAGTTAAAACAGTTTTATTTTTCTAACACTAACAGAAGGAGTGCCTTATTTTTATTGAGTTATGGAGTAAGATACCATTAGCAACAGTGGAGGCCAAAACTTTTACAAGAATTTAAGAGCGGAATCAAGGATTTCCTGAAAAGTAAAAGCTCTTGCATTAGTACGAATAACCATTCTCTCAGTTTTACTTTTACTAGTCTAGTTCTATTAAGTTCTAATTCTAGGCCAATTTGTATTTTTAGAAAAAATAAATCCGTTCTAGTTTAATAACAAGTCTTACTGGAATTTTTGAAACAAAATCTGCATTTTGTAATTCTTACGGCACTTTAAATAAAAATGTTAGAAATAGAGTTAATATGTTTACCTCTCTGATAATTTTCCCGGTTGAATTTATCAGGAAAATAAACTTTTGTTAGCAATTTACTACTACACAGGATACATCAATCCCCCTTCAGCTGATTATTAAACGCCCTCTAAATATTTTAAAATACTTGCTTTTATTGTTGTTAAATTAAAGCAAATATTAAGCCACAAGTAAAAATGCAAAGTTAATCATCAAACTGTTATTGCTTTCTAAGACCTATAATCCTTCAGAAATTTTAATTCTGTGACAGAAGCAAACCTTCATTCTACAGAAATTAAAAATTATCGCCGATTTCGAGTCTTGGGTTTTCTGGAAACTATATACTTAATAAAAATTAAATCGTCTCAACATGATTAAAAAATAAATAACTTGTGTGATAATATTTTTAAATGGTTTGATTTTCTAAAAGGCTTAAAAATCAATTGTCATAGTTGAAAGTATTTATAGTTTTCGTCATGTTTAATAATTAGGATTATGGGTATTCGATAAATATTTCCTAGCAAACAAACACCTCATTGCAAATTTTATTTAAACCTCAGAGTTTAATGAACAGTATTTCCTTTATTTATATTATTAATTTTCTCTAGATCTCAAAATTTTGAATCATTTCTTTGCTTATTTATTTTGCCACCTCAATGGATCAGTGGTAAATCTACTGACTTACTATACAAAAATCCGGGCTCGATTCCCTGCGGTGGATAGAGCGCAAATAGTCCACTGTGTAGCTTTGCACAAAGAAAATTGCTACTATAAATGTCGATTTTTGCGCAAAGCCAATCGAGGGATACCTGCGCTAGCCGTCCCTAATTTTGAAATGAAAAATAGAGAATAGGCTGCTAGTCAACCCCACCAACCACCAAATCTTTGATTGTTCTAATCACATAGTGGAAATCACATTCATTCTTATAATGCATACACGACCTGAAATGAAAAGCGCTTATTTTTGTAATTTTTTTAGCGTGTTAACTGGAGCCAACCAAGGAACCTGGGATCTATACCTCGGTACGTTAAAATAATTGGGCCGCGCTCAGCCCTTCAGATAGAGTAATTATTGATAAGAAATGGTCGAAAATTAAACACGTTCTACTTATTTAAATTTATACTGCACAAAAATATACAGATTATAAACAATAGTTCTATTTATCTCTCCTTTAAAAAAATATTGTGAATTAACATTTATACATTAACAATTGCTTATTTAACATGAAATTAATTACATGAGTAGATGGCAGCACATAGTGAACGAACGTTTTAAGGTTCTCTCTTTTTGGTCTATCGTGTGGGTAAGATGACGTGTTTGATGCTTAAAAATAATCGAAATAATCTATTTTACTTTATTACATTTTTTAGGAACTTTGAGTTTAACTTTTCGTTTGAGTTTCTATTTGTTTTACTTACTTAATTATTATTACATTTAGAAATCGTTTTCTGTTGATTACAGGTAATATAAAAATGGGAAGAAGACCGGCGCGTTGGTAAGTAAAGGTTAAGCTATTTATTATTAATTTAAGCTGTATTTCTAAATTGGGTCGTTTATGTTATTATTTTAAATTGGCACTACTAATGATAGAAGTTTTAAGTTTGCGTTTTCATGCATTAAATATATAGCTCTATCTATGTTTTATGAGTAATGATAGGCCTACAAGAGATACGTAATATATAATTACATGAAGTTGAACTTGGAGGTTATATTTCGAATGCATGTAGTGATATTAATAATCGTTCATTGTCAACGTTTTGTAGTTTTTAGTTTAATTTTAACACATTTACAGTACTTGATTAGCTTGGAAAGATTTGAAAGTCAACAAAACTACTTCCTGAAAGATCTAGTGTTGCTATATTTCGTCTGCTTTTTTCTTCAATTTTTGTTGACTTTTTATGGCATTGACATGTTTTTAATTTAAAAAGTACCCAAGTATTTTCAACAAAATAAATCTGGTTTAATTTTATACTTTTGTTAAGGGCTACAATGTGTTTTCATTTTAGCATGTGTTAAATCTTATTTTGAGATTGTAAGCCTAAACATAATTACCACGTGACCATTGTAAAACTAAACTATTTACTAACTGCTTTATGGAGTTATGTGCAAGACATGCACATGAAACGTCACAAACCATTTTCATTAATTGACATTTCTGGATTCATGTAATGCAAATTATTTCGATTTAGGAAGGAATCAGGTAGTTAGATAATAGTGTTTGCATTATGAGTAGGACATATTACAATATAAAGTTTATGCTTAAAACAAGTAATATGGAAGCCTTAAATTGTTTATTTTATTTGATGCGATTATGATTCTAAGTAGAAAGCTTTCCATTTCCAAAACAGAATAAAAAAAGCAAAGTTATGTAAAGAAAATTGACATATCACTTAGAAATTATATTAAGAAGAAAAGGGTTAGATTTACTCATAACTGAGTCTCCCTTCCCCCCTGTTGTCTTACTGGTCACAGTATCCTAACCTCACACCAGCAGTAACTGAAGTTTCTTAAAAATGTTTATTGCCATGAATTAGAAACTATTCTTCTGTCATAAAATGCCATTGCAACATATATTTTATATAATCGATGTAGACAACTTGATTGGGTAATGAAAAAAAACTTTAATAAAAGTTTTACATAACAGCAAATGTACAAAATTTTGTCAAGGTTTTGTCATCATCAGGTACAAGTAATTTACACTAACACGAATATATATATACAGTATTGAACAAAGAGGTCACATGACCGGATACTGTTGCAAACTTAGAATAGGTATCTTGCCACCCCGGTGTGTTGGTTTAGAGTAGAGTTGTTTTGTTCAATTAAGATGGATTCCTTGATTTTTTTGTTTAAAATGACTGTGTTTTTAATAGATATAATATGGTTTTTTGAGTTGCAATGATGAAAAACATGGGATGACTTTTTATTGTGTTCTGTCAATCTGGTTTCCAATTTTCTTCCTGTTTCTCCGATGTAGAATTCTGGGCAGTTATTGCATGTTATTTTGTAAATGATGCTGGTATTGTGTGATTCTAAATAATTTTTGGTTAATAACGATTTTAATTTAGGACCGGGTTTTTATGAGAATTTGGCATTGACAGGAAT